TTAGTCGAATTAGACCCATAAAATGGAATAATTTATAAAAATAATTAAAAATATGATCCCATGCACATCCCTAATTAACAAGGCCAATCTCGCCTCAGCCCTAGACTCAAATCGGCAAGGATCCAACCCAGACTTGGGGTGTGGGTAATTTATTCATTTATTTTTTTTTTGGCACAAGTGTCAAATAGACCCATCTACTATTATGAAGTGCTCAATTTTTACCACGAACTAAATTAAGTGTCAAATAGATCCATCTACCAACTAAATTTGTTCGATTGACATTTTTTACAGGTTGTTAGCAGGTTTCCTATCTAATTATTAAAAATAAATTAATAAATAAAATAAAAATTAAAAAATTAAAAAAAAAAAAAAAGAATATCAGCCACCGGCTGTCCGCGAGGACCGCCGGTGGATGATATTCTTTTTTTTTTTTAATATTATTATTTATTATTATTATTTTTTTAAAAAAATATTCTATTTATTTATTTATTTTTAATAATTAAATAGACAACCTGCTAGCAACCTATAAAAAATGTCAATCGAACAAATTTAGCTGATAGATGGGTCTATTTGACACTTAATTTAGTTCGTGGTGAGAATTAAGCACTTCGCAGTAGTAGATGGGTCTATTTGACACTTGTGCCTTTTTTTTTTTGGTGTACCAAAGGTATTTTGGGTGTGCACGGGGTTTTCTTCAATGAACTTATCAACATGATCTCCGATAATAAATAAAGGATTATTGTAAATAATAGTGTTTACATCCATAATCAAATAAATGAGAAATACTCCACCAGAGAGAGAGGGTAAATAGGTTAATAATGGGCACAAAAACCAAGATCAGAGTGGCGCAGTGGAAGTGTGGTGGGCCTATAACCCACAGGTCCTAGGATTGAAACCTGGCTTTGATAAAAATACTTTTTTTACTACAAAAACATGAACATGGGATGTTTTATTTTTTAAATACTTATTTCTGTATTATATATAGATTGCATTTTGACTACAAAAGCATGAACAGGGGATGTAGCTTAAATGGTAGAGCGCTCGCTTTGCAAGTGAGAGGCACGGGCTTCGATCATGTTAATCATCAGAAATGTTTGAAGCGGGGGCATTAATTCTTTGGGTGCAAATAATCATGAGAGTTTCAAAATATGCTTCTAGCTTTTTAAATTTTTTCCTTTTTTTTTATCTTTATTAATTTTCAAAAATGACATCACCTATCTTTTAGGTGGGACAGCTAGCATAAAGATTTAAGGCTACTCTATACCTAAAATAAGGATCGAACCCTTGACCTTTGGTTAATGATAGATGAGTCCCTTCCACTCAATCACACCCCTAGGTTAGTTTGGGCAAATTATGACATGGATAGGGTTTACCTTGCCTTGTAGACCTTGGTCTAAAATGACATTTCATTGTGTGTCTGCAGTTAACCTATTATGTATCCATAGTAAGCCATATAATTTGTTAAATACCGACACATAATATGTTAACAGACACATGATATATAACTAACATATTATGTGTCTGTAGTTAGCAAATTATATGTTGGAAAGAATAGCTTAAAATAGCAAGAAATTGCATTACAAGTAGCTATTTTGTGGTACAAATATTAGTACGGTCGACTTCCGATTTGGGTCGGGTCAAAGTGAATTTGGGTTCTTCTTAGTGAGACGAAGAGATTGATATATTGTACGCTCAAAACGGATAATGGATGAATAAGATATTGATCCTCAAAGTAGATCCATTTGAGTTGGAAAAATGAATGGGAAAGGGCTTTAAAGTAGCCTTTGTCCCACATTGGTTTGGGAAGTGGGTTTGCACCACTATTTATACAAGAACCTTTTTAAAGCTTATTGAATTGAATAGTATAGAGGTTTTCTCTCGCGCGCAAGAGGGGGTGAGAGGTGGTGGGTGTGCAAATCAAATCCAAAAATTCACTTGAAAAGTCTTGACTCGTATACGCCGGTTTCAAATGCTATGATTTTTGTTTTGTAATCTCAAAACTTTGCTTCAACTCTTTTCTTAGCCTCCTGTGTGACTGTGTTCATCACAAGCTCTAGTTCGCCGGATTCCATTGTTTGACTGCTTAAACTTGGAATTGTAGTACGTTTTATCCCGGGAAGCCTAGGCCAGAACGCTCCTACCACCTTTTGGGAGACAGCAAATAAGGTTTTAAGGAAAGAGTGATTCACTTGACTCGTGCTAACCAACTACACCGTAATCCCTTCGTTCTTTCCCTGAATTTCCAGTTTTTCCTAGAAAAATAATAATCCTTTTTCCATAGGATTATTTTTTTTTTCAGCCTTATTTGCAACATTATATGCCTTCCATGCAATATAGACCCTAATTCATGTTATAACAGTTGCGGGGCGTGGTCACCTCTAACACGCATTATGACTTAAGTGTTTGTAAATAACCATCATTTGTTTAGGTTGAATGCTTTCTAAAAGATAGTATTGAGTAAACTTGAAGTCTTTATCCTTTTTTTAAGGGTTGACATGAGTTTCCATCTAACTACATTAAACTTGTGGTGACTATTATTAGGACTCTATGTATTTGAGTCAGTTTATAACTCCTTATCCCAGTCATTCTGTAATTCCTCCTTGTATATATTCTCATTATCTGTACTCATTGTAATCAACTCATTCAATATAATTGATACAGTTCTCATATGGTATTAGTAAGCTAGAGTTTTCTTTCCACCACTCGCCACTTTATCAGAATCAAGTTGACCTACAAGAATTTCTTGTTTTGGCGTACGCGAGTCGTTGCCTTTCTTCATGGGCACGATTTGATGGGTTTCATAGACGGCACGAAACCCTCTCCGTCGGTTCTTCTTCCCGACGCCGACGATAGCTCCTAGCCGCGGCCGAATCCCGCTTATGCCGCATCCATGCGACAGGACCAAGATCTTCTCTCCATGCTTGTTTCCTCTCTCTCCAATGAGGTCATGCCATTGGCCGTTGGTCGTCGGATGCGCCGTGCTCTCTGGGACGCCGACGTGCAAGCTCTCTCGTCGTCCTCTCGAGCTCGCACGCTGAACCTTCTTAGCCAACTTCAGGGTTTGGATCAGGGGGACTCCTCCGTACCGGATTACATCGGCCGGGCTCAGGTTATCATCAAAAACCTCACCTTCGTCGGTCGGACGGTAAGCCTAGACGATCAAAACTTGTTCGTTTGCCAAGGCTTGCGTCTAGAGTTCCGAGTGTTAACTGCAAGAACTGGCGGAATTTCTTGGAGAGCAGGAGTTCATCGCTAGCTGAGATTACGGTGGCTCGCCCACAGTTCTCATTGCCCAACGCGGGGTTAGCAGGTCTGGTCGAAGTGGCAACCAGCGCGGTGGTGGTGGTAAATCTCAACGTGGTGGCGGTGGTAACTCTCAACGTGGTGGAGGTGGTCGACAGCAAGGAGGTCGAAGGTCATGGGCGTGGTGGCCGCGTTCGCGACAACGATGGAGGTTGTAAACAGGTTAAATGTCAGATTTGCAGGCGCACTGGTCACGAGGCAGTCGTGTGCTATAACCGCTATCATCCTCCCACTCAAGCTAACTTAAGCTATAAGAATAATGGTCTAGACATTAGTGGTTCTCAGATGTGGATCCCAAAAACTTGGGCAACCTATCATGTGACTCCAGACATTGCTGCCCTATCTACCTCTGAAGAATATGCTGGTAATGACACATTGTGTGTCGGTAACGGTATGGGTTTATTTATTAGTTGTGTTGGTCATGCTTCCTTTAATACCCATATAGGTCTTTTAAGTTTTCTAATATCCTTCGTGTCCCTACTTTGTCAAATTCTTTGTTATCTGTTCAAAAGTTTGCGTCGGATAATAAAGTATTTTTTGAGTCTCACCCCTCTTTTTTTTTTGTTGTGAAGGATATCAATACCAAGGAAATTTTGTTTCGGGGCAATAGCTCTAGGGGTCTATACACGCTACCGTTGTCAAGTTCGTCTCCCTCTGTGTTTCTTTCCGCTCGTGCCTCTGCATCAATTTGGCACAATCGTCTAGGTCATCCTCATCATCGTGTTCTCAGATGTATTCTTCAATCTTGTTTGGTTAGTGGGTCTAGTCGTAATATTCGATGTAATAGCAGTTTGTGTAACGCGTGTCAATTGGGCAAGTCTGTTCATTTTCCCTTGCCACGTGTTGAGTCATCTAGTTCGAATGTTCTTGATTTAATATACACATACATTTGGGGTCCAGTTCCTCTATTATATAAGAATGGTTATCGCTATTTTGTTATCTTCGTTGATGATTATTCTCGTTACACATGGTTGTTTCCTATTGTTACGAAAGTGAAGAGATATTTTTCTAATGTGCTGTCGTATATTGTTTCAAACTGTCATATAGAAAAAAAAAGAATACAAAGCCCTATAAATATGTGCTAGAAGACTACGAAAAGGAAACAAGTTTCCATATTTCCTACCTACCTAAATCCCTAAGATTGCCTAATATATAGAGATTCTATATATGAAATATATATTCCATAACACCCCCCCCCCCCCCCCCCCCCCCTCTCAAGTTGGAGCATATATTTTAATAATTCTCAACTTGTTACACAAATGAGTGATAACCCAAAATAACTAAAAACCGAAATAACTCAAGTATATTTAGGACAGTCCTTTGAAACGAAAGTTTTGAACGCCACAAATCCCACGAACAACAGGTGAACACAAAGTGGACTGAACGAGCTTGAGGTTGGATACTCATACTCCCCCTGCAACAAAAGCTTTGAACACCACCAATACCACAACTCCGGGTGAACACAAAGTGGACTGAACAAGCTTGGACACACAAGGTAAAGAAGACAAACTCCGAACCAAAATATACAAATTCTTTACCAACGAAAGGGAAGCATCTTTCCAAACAAAAGGGAAGCACGCTCCAAACAACGGGCATTAAAAAAAAAAAAAAAAAAAAAGGAGAGACATCACCTAAACAAAAGAGAGGCAGCACCAAAACGAGATAAGACCAAAATAAGAAAGCACCAAACACAAAACGAGACAACACCAAAACACAAAATGAGACAGCACCAAAACACACAACGGACTCCATCATTCTAGAGGTCAAGAACATAAAGACCCCTAGACGCAAGCCCTTCACCAAAAACCCTCTTCGTCACAAGATTCCGAGGCAACAGCAGCAACAGATTTATACTCAACCATACCCACCAAAACAGATCACAAAACCACACAAAAAAAGGAGCATTAAGGGGTATGAAACAACCTCACCGGAAAGCAAAAAGCAATGGTCCAAACTAAGTCCAGAACCAAGACAAACGGACTTAGGCGACCCAGGAACCATCGACAAAAAAAATTTCTAGTGGACGGTAAGTCCTCACGCGCTGCCCAGATCGTCGCAAAAATTTGCAGGCACGGTCGCCGGCGAAGCTTCCTAGATGGGTGGTGACGGTAGCGGAGCGAAAAAAATCCATTTTTCGTAAAGGCTGAGATACTATGTTAAGAAAGTGAAGAGAGGATTTTCTAATGTGCTGTTGTATATTGTCTCAAACGGTCATATAGAAAAGATAATACAAAGCCCTATAAATAGGTGCTAGCAGACAACGAAAAGGAAACAAGTTTCCATATGTCCTACCTACCTAAATGCCTAAGACTGCCTAATATATAGAGATTCTATATATCAAATATATTTTCCATAACACCTATGAAATTAATTAGCTTTGTCAGCACATGCATGATCCTACTACGTCACATTTGGAGCAGCTCAAATGAGTCGTGAGATATATTAAGGGAACAGTTGTGTAACACCCTACTTTTCTTAATCTAAATCCCGAAATCTTAACTTAACAAGATAAGATAAACAAGATTAAAAGCAAGATTTAATTAACTTAAACCAACCAAAAAAATCCAACGGGTGTTACCGTGACAGTCACCACCCACGGTGACTGCATAGGCTACAAAAGGAATAGACTAACTCAAGTCAAGTTCATTAAAACACCCTTAAAACGTGGGGAACAGACCTCGGTGTCCAGCACCAACAAAAATGATAAGTCTAAGTCACTATTCATCAAACATCAAAAGTCAACAAAAGTATCTAACATCACAAGTTCAACGGTAGAATCTAAACTAGAAACTACTAACTCATAATCTACGCACTAAAACTAAACTCGTGCACTCTCAGTTACGGGACCCACCTGAAAGGGGTTATAAAAACAAGTAGAAAATAAACACGTTAGCAAATTAATGCTAAGTATAAAACCACTCAACCCTGTAAAGTACTATAGATATAGATTTTGAAAATCACTTGGCAAGCACACATAATCTCAAACACTTTCAACACTTAAACAACAATCTCAACATACTCATAAACAACTCTATATGCTTGCAACCAAAACATCATAATATCATGCTTTTTCAAGTACTCAATCTAAACACAAGTATCATGCTTCAACAAATATCTCTAAACATAGCTCAATATACAATCTCATGCTCAACTGATAGATAAAGAGATACTAAATAATTCAACAAACAATCTCATGCTTTCAAGCTAAACAATAAGAAATCTCATGTTATCATGCCAACTCAACAAACAATAACAAAGTTATACATCTCAACATAATCTAAATGCAAAACATGCAAGTCATATGATAAATGCAAAACATGCAAGTCATATGATAAGAAAAGTCATGATTCTATAAGTATATAAATATACTCTCACTCTCATAAAAAGGGATACTTTTTCTTTGGAGGTTTCTGTTGAGTCACAATGACCCGCTTTTCTCTTCATTCTTTTTGAGTCACACAGACTCACTTTCTCTTCTTTACTCGCGGGCGAGGCAGAAACTTCACCATGTGTGAATGGACCTGTCCGGGCTCGGCATCTAGCTGGCATAATACTCATTTTGCCCACGGAACCACTCTCTTGGTTCTCTACTCAATCTCTGTGGAATCAGGTATCATAATTGTCAGTGTGCATGATAAGTGCATATTTGTTCATATTTATACCCCATGTCTACCCCATATTTAGCCTTGTTTTGCTTATGAAGTGTCACAATGTTGTTCAAAATGATCTTTATTTTGCTTATTTGATCCATTATGCACAATTCATGATCTTTGAGTAGAAATGAAGGATTTTAGATCATGTTGGATGCATTTGGAGTCAAGAGGAGCCAAGGTGAAGCAAAGGAGATGGATGTAATACTTCCAAGGGAGTCTAAGAGTGGTGTTTTCAATGGTGTTGGTCATTTGGGCAAACCAAAACAAAAGAGGAGCAAAAGATCAATGCATTGCAATTTTCGCTCATTTCGATCACTGTTCGGTATTTTGACTATATCTCAGCATAGGAGTGTTGAAATGAAGTGATTCTTGTATCATTGGAAAGAATACTTGAAGGGCTACAACTTTCATGAAGACCATAGTTCCAAATTCTGACGTTTTGAAGGACAAAAGACACGGCCAAGTGTACGGCCGTGTCTGTGGCCGTGTATTTTCTGTGCATTCCAGTAGCTACTGTCGTTTTGGACACGGCCAGGGACTGATAAGTGCATATTTGTTCATATTTATACCCCATGTCTATCCCATATTTAGCCCTGTTTTGCTTATGAAGTGTCACAATGTTGTTCAAAATGATCTTTATTTTGCTTATTTGATCCATTATGCACAATTCATGATCTTTGAGTAGAAATGAAGGATTTTAGATCATGTTGGATGCATTTGGAGTCAAGAGGAGCCAAGGTGAAGCAAAGGAGATGGATGCAACACTTCCAAGGGAGTATAAGAGTGGTGTTTTCAATGGTGTTGGTCATTTGGGCAAACCAAAACAAAAGAGGAGCAAAAGATCAATGCATTGCAATTTTCGCCCATTTCGACTACTGTTTGGTATTTTGACTATATCTCAGCATAGGAGTGTTTAAATGAAGTGATTCTTGTATCATTGGAAAGAAGACACAAAGAGCTACAACTCATATTCAGACATTAAAGCCTAAAAAGGAAATCACAGGGTTCAAAAATGTCCTTGAAGTTGAAGTTCCAAACTTACAATCCAAAACTGACCACTGTTTGGTTTTTAGACCATATCTCGGCTTAGAAATGTCCAAATGAAGTGATTCTTGCTCCATTGAAAAAACGACTTGAAGGGCTACAACGCTAATGAAGACCATAGTTCCAAATTTTGACGTTTTGAAGGACAAAAGACACGGACAAGTGCACGGCCTTGTCTGTGGCCGTGTATTTTCTGTGCATTCCAGTAGCTACTGTCGTTTTGGACACGGCCAGGAACATGGCCATGTCCCTGCCCTTGTCACCTCTGCTGCAACTTTTTATAAACTCCATTTTTTGTCATTTTTACTTGGTTTTGACTCTTGTTAGAACCCTAGACACTCTCTTTCATTCTCCTTCATATTTTTAGGTTAGATTAGGCTTAGATTTATGTTTCTTAACACTTTTGAAGCTTGGATTCCAACATTTGAAGATTGTTCTTCCATTATCAATACATAAGTTCTTCTTCCTTTTATCTCTTTATTTTGCAAGATTTATGTTTGTTACTTATGCTTTTGTGTTCTTTATGCTATTTAATCATGAGTAGTTAGTTTATGGACTTGAGTTAGGGTTGTATTATCTATCTTGATGCTTGATTTGTGATTATTGTAAAAAAGGGGAAGAACACTACCTAGGGTTCATGTGTTTGTGAAGGTTTTGTGTTTATATCTTGTTAATGTTTGATGTACACATTCATTAACTTGTTTTTGGAGGATTCATTGCCTCAACGAGAGTTGGGTGATTAATCCAAGCCACCCCTTGCATAGACCCAATTTCTTCCTACGAAAATAGGGGAAATTGGGGGCTTTAGATGTTTTGTGTGCTTGATGGACTTGGAATTGATTCACCACGAAAGTGGGGAGATTCCTTGTTCTAATCCTTGTTTATAAATCACGAGAATGGTTCATAGACTAGGATACCTACGTGCATTCCCGCTTGATTCCTTGGTTACTTGTTTTCCCTAATCCCTTAGGTTGTTAAAGCATCTAGATGATAATGCTCCCTAGCTTGAGTCCTATTTCATTATTTCGTAATTATCTCTTGTTCATATGTGTTTTTGGTATTTTATTTAGTTTCCGTTGTCTCATCCTTGTTATGGTTTGCTTAGCTTCTTGTTGATTGCCTAGTGCTAGTGCCTAGTTTCTTGTGATTGCGTATTGTGTGCCATATCCCCCAATCCCCTGAGGACGACATAACACACCCGAGCTCACATCTTATTTTTGCTACAATCAGTGCACACCCCCTAACCAGGATTCCAAGCCCGGCGGGTAGTATCCAACCTAGTAACTCGGGAATATCGACCTCGTTAGTTCATAAAATCTGTTGGCTCGCAATGTCCGTTACTTTTCTCAATCTTTCTTTCTTTCTCTTTTCTTCTGAAAGGACAAAGTCCTAACGGGCCTCCAAAAAAACTATTTTCCTCACAATAGATATTATATAGATGTATCTCATGCAAAAAACTCTATCTCATGCAAGCTTTGCTATGCACATTATTCTCAATCAACTTCACTTTCTCATAATTTGGAAATCAAATATCATGTGTAACACCCTGTGTTACGCCCTTTAGACTCGGAATAATTGTTTAATTAATTCCGTGAAAAGAATAATTAAAAAGGAATTTAAGTAAGCAGAGGCCCTTAATTAATTAGTGTGGTCCACGGTGGACCGTGGACCCTTGTCCATATTAAAGCCTTAAAACCTGTTAGGATAAAGAAGTTGGGCCTAGTGTTAATCAGATTCTGATTGGGAGTCCTCGATCTATATAAAAGAAATTGGAAAGCTTTAGAAACCCCTTCCCACTCATACACTCGAAAATTCCCTCCCAGAAATCAGACCAGGAGTGCCCCCGTCACCCAGCTTAGGAGAGATTAATAGAGAGAAGGCCTTGAGGAAAGATTCTAGGGATCGTGAGAAGTTTAATTAAAGCTACCAGGTAACCTATGTCCTACAAAACCTATTTTCCTTGCTATTGTTTATTGATTGGCTCCGGTGGATGATTGAATGTGTGATTTTGTATGTTTACCCTGTTAGAGCTGTCTTTAGGATCAATGATGTGGATTCTTGTTATTCTTGATGTTCTTGATGAACTTGTGGGATTGATTGCATGATCTTGTATTCAATTGCGTTTAGAGCTTTTCCTTAGGATTTATGTGGTGAATCTGGTTATTGGTAACGTTCTTGGGTGGGTTTATGCATGCTCGGGTGTTATTCTAGGTTTAGGGCTTGTCGTTAAAGCTTGGTATGATCAAGTTCTTGAGGTTCTTGAACCGTTGTGTGTTAATTCTTGGGTCTTGGCATGATTAGTACTCTTGGTTGGGATTTAATTGTGTTGTTTCTTGGCTTAGTCTTGATGATCAAGTCCCTATTGTTGTTAGTATGTGTTTGGACGTGTTTGGGACTTGATTTTGGGTGAATCGGATGAATTCTTGGGTTGGGAAAATTGGCCAAGAAGCTTGTTCCAACAGGTAGTCCATGGGGGGACGAACCCCCACCTGACCACCCGCCGGGAAGGGAGGAGGTTCCAACGGGTGGACGGTCACCCGCTGGAACATGGACCGCCGCCGGCGGGTGGACGGCCACCCGCTGGAACGGCGAGGTTCCGCCGGCGGGAGGTTGTCATCCCGCCGTACCCCCCGCGGGTACGGGCCAGTGCGGGATCGTTCGGTCTCCGCGGGTCGAACCCCGTGTCCCATTGTGTCTCGTTTAACGTGTGTGATGTTTAGCATGATATTTTAGGTACCGTAACGTGATTTGTGAGTCGCGTATAAGCATGTGGTCTATACTCGTATCGTGTGGTTTATGTTAATTCCCGTAGGTTGCATGTTGTAGTGGATATCCCGTGTTGTTATCGTATGTCGTGTCATTTCCCTAGCAACCCCGTGATGTAATTATTGTTGAGTCTTGATTGTCGTGCTATTGCCCATGGTGTTGAAAACATTTGAAATTGGTGGAAAAAATTTGTTGGTGGTTTGACGCACTGCGAGTGCATTGATCATTGTGCTATAGGCACAGGTCGCCTGATTACTGTGCTATAGGCACAGATCAGGTTATGTTTTGGCATTGCGAATGCTCAGTTATTGTGTTATAGGCACAGACCACTTGATCATTGTGTTATAGGCACAGGTCATGTTATGTAATGCCACTGGGAGTGCTGATTTGTTGGTGGATTGTTGGAGGTCTGGTTGGAGGGGAGCATGCGCTGCTTCGGAGGGATAAGGGAGGTGTTATAATGGTGGCCTGGAGGTACAGGTTGGAACTGTTATAAGGATGGAGAGGCGTAAAGGTTGGAACTTGGTATAAGGTTGGGATATGGGCGAGTCTTGTTGTGTCTTGTTACTCGTTATAGTTGTTATCTTGGCTTATGGTCTTGATTGTATGCGATGTCTTTATGCGTCTTACCGTGTCGAGTCTATTAATATGCCTTGAGTCTGATTCTTGGTTTTAACGCTAGAGTTGTTTAGGACTATATTATGTATTCCCAAGTCTCAAAATGATTTCTTATATCTATATGTATTCTACTCAATGCGTGGGAGTGGGTTGCTTAGCATTATTCGCTAACGGTTGTAATACCGCATGTTTTTCAAGTACAGATTAGTTGGCTCGTGAGCGCGCTAGTCGGAGCTGCGGTTCCTAGTTTAGTTAGTGGCTAGCTTCAGTTGATGGCCTGTGTGCCGCTTTTGTATTCGGATAATGTTCATGGATTGGATTACTTAGTTAGTAGCCTGTGCATCTAGGTTCTCCAGCCTGGATGTGGCATAGCACCCCGACATTTGTGTTTAGTTCTGCTCTGTTTGGATTTTAATGATAGATTCGCCTTTAATTTGTAAGCTTTAATGGTTTTAATTTATGCTGAAAACTAGGGTGTTACATCATGCAACTTCTCAATGCAAATAGATAATGGTTTTCCAAAATAGATATATATTTTTGAAATAGAACTTAGGCTTACTTAGAGCCAATGATGCACTTTACTCACATGAAAAGCTAAGCATGCTCTTTACTGGAAATTACTCAAATTCTCATTCTCTGTAAACTATGAAAATATACACTACTCATACCAATCTCTCAAATGCTTAGCAAAACTTCTCAACAAAATATCAACAAGTATTTAGGCATGCTCCTCAATAAAAAAAAACTATCAAGTATTGATCATGCTTTTCATCTCAAATTAACAAAACGCATGTCTCAATTTTTCTTTCATTGTAAAACATTTACAGAACACAACAAATACTGAGCATTCATTTCTCACAACAAAATCAACTATAAATCATGCTTTAAAACTCCAAATTCAACGAAACTAACTTCATCTAGTGCATCGTAACGAACCCAAGTGTCTGAGCCTCAAGGGCCCACGAGTCCCGGTCCGAACAACGCGTAGCTGAGCCACAAAGGGCCCGGCCAAGAAGTCTTTTGGCCTAGCGGAGCTTGGTGATGGGGCTAGGGAAGCCTCGCCACTTAGCTCCGCCAAGCCGCGGTGCAAGGCAACAGACTGTGCCAAGGTCCATTGCCTGGTTCGCTGCTCAACGGAGCTTGCCAACGGACCAAGCCAGGGTCCGTTGGGTGATCTGGTGCACCTTCTGTGTGCACCAGACACCTCCTTCTTCACCTGCACACCAAAATCGGTGCAAACCAACACTTCTAAACCACAATAAAACAATCATAGACCATCAACCACACACAAATAGCTCAACCACAACATTTATCTAGCATTTTTACACATCTAAACCACAATCTAGCAGATAATAGAGTATAAAAATGTAGTTTGGGAGTCCATGGTTTATACCTCAGCTTCTTCTTCTTCTCTGTGTGGATCTCTTCTTCCTCTCTACTTAGCTAGCACCTCCTTCACCACCTAAACTCCCCAAACAAACCACACAAACAACACACAAAGAAGGAACCTCAGAGATTGAAAGCAAAGAAGATGAAAACCTCAAAGAATAAGATGGAATGAATGGATGAGAAGGAGGCTTAGAAACTTACTGTGAATGTTTCTTCTTCTAACAGAGAACTCAAGGGTGGAGAAGCAAAGAAAGAGATCAGGAAAAACAATGGAATAGCGGAGAATATAAAGGGTGCAAAACCCTAGGTGAGAAGCCAATGATTGGTGGAGGTTAAAATGGTAACTTGGCTTGGCTTCTAACATAGATCAGACAAAGGTTTTGTAGAAAGTTGGTGGTTCACCTTGCATCATGGACCATAGTCTAAAAAGATGATTTTGAATATCTTGGGGTCAAAAAATAGATTTTCTAAAAAAAATAGTTTCTAGTTAAAACACTTAATTCAGGTTTCACAGGTTCCTTTCCGGTTTCACTCAGATTGACTTTTTGGATCAAAACTTGGTACATAAATGTATTCGAAACTTATGATTTTCGAAATAGAATATTCTCGGTGTTGAATTTATTTAAAACTCAATTTAAAATATTTAATTCAAACACCGTTTTCGAAATAAAATTTTTGAAAGAGTGAAAATGGCTATTTTGGAATTTATAAAATATAATTTAGGAAAATTATTTTTTGGGTTGTAACAAGTTGATTTTGGGTTGCGTATACGAAAATCAATGTCAAGAGAAATTCATGCTTTTTCTTATTCTGATTGGGCTGGTTGTCCTGAAGGTCGTAAGTCTACTAGTGGTTTTGTTGTTTTTCTGGGGACTGATCTTAAATCTTGGCCTCTTGGGTCTGTAAGAAGCAAAGAACTGTTGCTAGATCTTCCACTGAGGCGGAGTACAAAGCTCTAGCATATGTTTGTGCTGATGAATTATGGATTATTTCTTTGCTGCACAAAATAAAGATGCCAGGTATTTTTGTTCCAAAGTTATGGTGTGACAATCTAGGTGCTACCTATATGTGTGTCAATCCAATCTTTCATGCACACACCAAGCACGTAAAAATTGATTATCACTTTGTGCGAGATAGAGTGACTTCTGGAGACATTCAAGTCAACTTCATCTCAACCAAGGATCAACTTGCAGACATATTTACAAAAGCTCTACCTGGTCCTAGATTTTCTTTCCTTAGAGACAAGTTACAAGTTACTAGTATACCCTGCCCTTAAGGGGGAGTATTAGGAATCTATGTATTTGAGTCAGTTTATAACTCCTTATACAGTCATCCTGTGATTCCTCTTTGTATATATTCACATTTATCTGTACTCATTGTAATCAACTCATTCAATACAATTGATACATTTCCCATCAGTATATTACTTTGTTCGCTTTGAAGGACTTAGTTAAGGCAATGATACTGATACATCATAATTTAAGAATATATTGGTGAATAATATTGTTTGAGTAGCTAGGTATGTATTTTTAAATTCGTTTTTCGAATGAATAAAAAATGTAACTCTTTAAAAGATTAAGAAAAAAATGTCAAATAAGCATGGTTGCAAAACACGCTAGGCGTCAAGGGGTGCTTAAACGCCGATTTGTTTTTAATTTTTTAATTTTTTTATTTAAAAAAATTAAAAATTAAAAATTATTTAAATTCACTAATAAAACATAAGGTTTCCATAGTTATTTCTTAGAAACTATTTACGAAAGTGGTTGTAAAATTGTTCAAAAGATTATTTAAACCATCTATATATATATATATATATATATATATATATATATATATATATATATATATATATATATATATATATATATAAAACTAAAATTAAGAGCTAAAGAAGCATTTTTTTGAGAAATTAGTGGACCAAATCGCGATTTGCGGTGTATAGATCTTGAAAAAATACGCGATTTGAAAAAATATTTTGTCCAAATCGAACAACCGAGTCAAAAGTTATGCCTTCAGGAACTTTTCCCACATTTTCAACAAAAAAAAAAAAAAAAAAAAAAAAAAAAAAAAACTCCGAACCGGCCGGCCGCGGAAGAGGCCGCCGAGGCCATTCCTCGCCGCGGCCTCCCACCGCATAGCGCCTAGGCGCGATTTTTGCAACACTGCAAATAATTGATTAAACTTTTCAACGTTATCCTATTTGTACAATTAGGTCAATCATCTTGAAACGTGTGCAATTGAATTATCAAACAAGTAAAATATGTGTAATACTTTTAAAAATTTTCAACTCAAATTTGACTTAAAGAAATCATAAAAATGTCCCAATTGTACTTTAGTTCTTTAATGGTTCAATTACACACATTTTAAATTTAGTAATCTAATTGCAAAAAAATAATAAGTTCAATAGAATATTTGACACTTTGGCCCTGTTTGGTAACATAGTTAGCTTATCAGCTAATTTTAACTTATTTGACCATTATTAGTTGTTTGACTTGTTAAATAGCCAATATAAGTATTTGATTAGTTAGCTTTTTGTAACAGTTTGTTGCTCCAAAATGCTAAAATTCAAAAAACTGCTCAAAGTAGCTTTTTTAATAAGCTTTTTGAGAAAATCATTTTACATGTAATTATCAGCTATCAGCTAACAACTAATTTACCAAACACTTTTCTACAATCAACTAATGCTATCAACTAGTCAAACCCACTAACCGAATCAACTAACAACTATTTACCAAACACCCCTAAAATTTATTCTATTACATATCCAATACTTCATGAGTTGTAGTGTGTGTATATGTAGATAATTCTATTCAAACTATAAGAGTAGGACTTGGAACTATAACCTCAATAAGCAATACTACTAAACATCTAAAAAAATTAATTAAATAAAATATTCTAATCTCATTATACATATGTGATCATTACATAATTATATGTATGTAATTTGTAATTCAATGGTAAAAATCTCAGTTAATGTGTTACGTTGTATTTGGTTTGTATGTAAATAATGTAATGTGTAATTCAATGATAAAAATCTTAGTTAATGTGTTACGTTGTTTTTGGTTGACTTTTCAATTAAATTTTTCTATATAATGACAATTAACTAATTATAATGATGGAGAACCTTCCCGTGGAGAGTAACTTGTGATATTCTCCCTACAACTAATAATTTGATTATAAAGAGAGCGGAGGTGGAACCAACATGCCAAATGTGTGGTTTGGCTAATGAAAATGTTATGCATGCTTTATTTACCTGTGAATATTCTAGACTTGGTTGGAATGTTTCAGGGCTACCTATAACAAATATCATTACCGGTTTATTCTCAGCATGGCTAACTAGTGCACTTGCAATGTTAACAGAGGAACAGAGTGCTTTTATGGTGGCAGTCATGTATCAATTATGGCGATGCCGCAATTCCGCAGTGTGGGATAGCGCACTCCCTCCACCCGCCGCCGCATGGAAGAGGGCAGTCATGGCATTAAGTGCATTCAGGAGAGCCAACCAGTGCCCTCCTCATCAGCCCGAGACGGCTCCGGCAGCACCGAATGGTGGTCACGCCAGGCCCAAATGCTTTGTGGATGCAAGGTTCCGACACGCAACCGGGGAGGCTACCTTCGGTATTGTCCTTCTCTCATCGGACGGAGAGTTTACGGCAGTACAAAACGGAAGGTTACCGCCTTGTTATTCGCCGCTTATGGCGGAGGCCCTAGCATGTAAAGAAGCTCTATCTTGGTTGTTGGAGAAAGATGTAACATCGGTGGACCTACTCACGGATTGTATGGAGCTACGGAACGTTCTACGCCAGGAATCAGCGAATATTCTATCCTATGTTGGGGTTGTGGTCGACCAATGTAGGGAGGCCATGGCTTCGTTTAATTATTGCACTTTAAGTTACGTTTCTAGACTTTTAAATTCACATGCTCATACTTTAGCTTCTTTAGCTTTTACTCAGGACCAGTTTATACATTGGGTTTCAATCCCTCCCGACTCTATTGCAGCTTTGATTCATTAATACAATTATTGATTGGTTGGTTTTAAAAAAAGAAAAAAAAAAAAAAACTAACAAAAATTGTTACTATTTATTACAAAGGAAAGGGGTACCCATACAAACTACGCCTACAAGGCTCGAAACCTAAACCTCCCACATAAGGGAGTAATCCAATACCAGTGGACAAAAATTGTTACTATTAAAAATATATTGCTCCATCTCATTTGATGTGTCTCGTCCAATTAACGATTATTTTCTGAAGTTATTTATAATTTAATTTTTCTATTAAGTTTAATATTAATATTTAAAATTTATATATTTAAAAATTACATTAAAAAATACTATTAAACATAAAATAAAATTTAAAATTTACAAGAAAATATTAAAGAAAAAAGAGAGCTGATTTTGTTAATGAATAATGAACAACATAGGCGGTATTTAGCATTGTACGTGTTTATATTTAAATGTTTTTTTTTTGAAAAGTTTATATTTAAATGTAGTTCGTTGTTTTCAAAGAAAAAAAAAAAAAAAAATGTAGTTCGTTGAATATAAAATGCTTTAGAAATAAAAGGAGTACACCTCTCCTTGTACCCAAAACTTGAAGATAAATTTAAAAAATAAAGAACACCCCTTGTTATATTTGGGAGAATGTAAATTATGGTAATCAAAGATAGAGCATTTGGAAGATTCTAAATCACGATAACTCAATGGTTCAGCTGGCAGGGTCAAATATCGATGCTCTGTTCATTTTGGACATAATCTTCACACTGTCGCTGCTAAAGTTCGAACTTTAATTTTTTCTCCCAAATACAACATATTAAAGAAGTTTGAATCTTAATTTTTTCTCCCAAATACAATCTATTAAACTAATGAGATAAGTCTATGCGAATTATTTTCTTGGGAAAATGGCATTTTTTCCCCCTAAGTTATATACTTATAGCACTTTTTCCCCCTCAATTATTTATGTAAGCACATTAGCCCCCTCAATTATTTTAAAAGTGGCAGTTTTTCCCCCTAATATATTAAATTGACATTTCTGCCCTTAAAGTAAACATTTTATTTATTTTACTTCTCTAACAAATTATTGTGTATATGTAGCGATTACCACGGTTCGGTTCGAACTGAACCAGACACTATAGCAATCGAATTAAAAGTTTTCAGTTATGATTTAGATCAAGAACCCAATATTTGAATTTCAATTTATTAAATTTAAGAATAAAAAAAAAAACTGGATCATGAACCGTGAACCGGCGATCCCGGATCCAGTTCGCGATTTTGAACCGTCTTTATTTTAAAATTTTATTTTTTTATTTTAAAATAGTCTAAATTCAACAATAAATGTATTTTATTTTTTCAGTTCGGAACATGAATCGTCCATTCCGGTCTGCGATTTTAATAAACTCTAAATATCGCGTTTTGATTATAAATTGTAA